TTCGTGAATGAGTATGGTTCGCAGCCAGCACACCATTCACGTGAATGCATGGTCAGCCATAGCACAGGGCTAAATGGCGCCACCGTCAAAAAGTAGTGTTATATTCGGAGACAATGCTTCGAGTTACCACTACGAAAAATATCAACGTAGAAAAATTTAGTTGCTGAGCTAGGAAGAGTTCGTTCCATAGTGTCCAACCAATAGGTTCAGGATCAGAGTCGGCGCGATGAAATGAAACGATTCGCGCATGCGCCCTGCTGCTACTGCTGTTAGGTCGCTGACTCACATACAGAAATTGGGGCTATATCCGAGTACTACTACCCTTCGCCGGGGGTAGACTTGGTTGAAAATTCGGTTGCAGGGGATAGTTCGACCTTCTGAACACGAATATCACACCCGCTTGGCCTGAAGCTGCCTGACACGCGCCCTTGATCACCAAAATCAATGGGAACTTGCATGCGAATATAATTTAACATCCTGGTTACTGACGTGAAATCCATTTTTTGGGGCCCGCACCAATGGAGCACAATACGATTACCTCCGCTCTGCTAAGGATAAGCCTAGCCTGACATAAAGCACTCCTTTTCCTATGTTCGGCCTTGGCAGAGCGCTGGTGTCTAAAGTGAGTGTCATGCACGTGATCAGCGCATCATCGAACAACCCGTACAAGCAGGGTTCCAGCAAAATTTTTCTCGAGTTTTCAAGTGAGTGATAGTTGAATAGTGCCGAACAATATTGAATCCTTGCAATCATGAAAAAATTGAATCTAACTGAGGTTACCCAATATTTACCTCACTGATACCTAATACCAAAGGTGTTCATACAACCAAGGGTAGCAAAAGAATAGGTAATTATCCAATTGACAACGTCCGCTATGAATGTTCGTTTGCACAGACAAACAAACGACCGCCTCAGCGATATTAAAGTGTACCATAGTTAACAGGATTTGATTAAGCATGAAATATGAAGTGAAATCGTTTTCAGGACATCGTCCGAGTATGTCCCCGAATAATATAGCGCAGGATGACGGAAAATAAGAGCGAAATGTGATTACAGATGGCCGCATCGCAAAGTGATTA